AAAATCAGCCAATGAAAACTTTTGGGATCATAACAAAATACTGCCTGACATAATGTTGGAGGCCACTCAAAACAGACAATGGGCGTGAGCATGTAAAGATGGTATAGGACCGGACAACATTTCATTCTGTTGTACATAAATAAGCTCTGGTAATGTAGTGTGCCTAAAGTACTCTGGTACAGTATTTACAGTCGGGCTGCTAACCTCAAGGTCAGCAGTTTCGTGGCAGAAAGATGAGGCTTTCTGCTCCCATAAAGATTGGAAACCCTATAAAGGGTCACTATGGGTCGGAACAGACTCCACAGCACACCACCACCAACATGAAAGTCAAAACAATTTTACAGCAACTAACAAAATGACGTTTAGTAAGGGTGGATGTATATGGTTCAGGATGGTGGGTTTGTATATCCACCAAAACGGGATGAAAGGTAAAAGGTCAGCTCTCTGTGCCTTCTACAGAAAACAGAATCCATGAAGCAAGGAATATTCTCTTGAGAACAAAGCCAAAGAGCAGCGGGTTAGTTTCTCCAGCTATCTGCTGTTTACTATTCCCTCCTGCAACACTAGAAATAAATTTTCAACAGCAGCACCCCAAAACACATGCACACATTCACCCAATCTCTCTCTGTGTCTCTCTCCACCAATCCCACTGGATTTCTCCTCTATCCGGCAAACTGATTTCTTTAATCCTAGAAATTAGTATTAACTCCAAATTCTCCTGTTGGCAAATTGGGGATTAATCAGTTCTCAGCTAAAGATCTTAAAGTAGGAGTAAGCTTATGTTAAGATGAACTTGCACTAAAAAGGCAGGCAGACAGTGGGAGGAAAGCTTTCTGAAAGTTTCCCTTATTAAAAGCCCAGTTTGCCAACATGACTTCCACTCAGCACCAGCCTCCTGCTCAGACAGATGTCACTGACATGCCCACTGCCCTTCTGTTTGCTTCCAAAAGCCGGAGATTTATTAGTATAAATAAGCCAGTGCTTTCATTGACCACCATTTCTTTCTTATGACTATGCTCTGTGCCAGGCACTTTGTTAGGCACAGATAATACAAATACAGAGAGCGGGTAACCTGGTGACCTCTAAGTCATTGTTGTCAAGTGCTGTAGAGTCTATTCTGACTGATAGTGATCCTATGCACAAGAGAACGTAACAGCAACTGGTCCTGGGCCATCCTCACAACTGCTGCTAAGCTCAAACCCACTGCTGCTGCCACTGTGACAATCTATCTCATTGGGGGGTCTTCCTCTTTTTCTGTCCCTCCACTTTACCAAGCATGATATCCTTCTCCAGGGACTGGTCCCTCCTGATATATGTCCAAAGTATGAGAGTCCAAGTCTAGCCATCTTGGCTTCTAAGGAATGTTCTGGTTATACTTCTTCCAACACAGATTTGTTTGTTCTTCTGGCAATTCATAGTACATTTAACATTCTTCTTCAACACCATAACTCAAATGCATCATTTCTTCTATGGTCTTCTTCATTCACTGTCTAACTTTCACATGTATATGAGGGTATTGAAAATACCATGGCTTGGGTCAGGCACACTCTGGTCCTTAAACTGAGATCTTTGCTCTTGGAAGTCACAGGAAGCACAAAAGAGACTTCTCGGCCACAGTGATCTCTCCTAAGGAGACTCAGTATCTTCACTTCCTAAGATGCTCACAGGACTCTTTGCCCCTGCTCCCACGCCCACTGCCTTAGCCCAGAAACCAGGCAGAGTTTGAAAACAGTACGCACTGCTGGGAAAGGCAATGCCAAGAGGTTATCAGGAGCCTAGACAAGGTAAGTTATTGCACAGGCTGGTGGACAGGAGGGGGATTCATAATAACAATGGCATAAAATACTCATATTGCATCTCGCAGGCACTGCTTTAAGTGCCTCACCTGTATGACCTCATTTGATCCTTAACATTAACCTGACAAACTAGATGATACTATGATCCCATCTTTTAACTACAGAAATGAAGACACAGATGCCCAGGGTCACGTAGTAACCTAAGTAAGTGACAGAAGCAGGATTCTAATCACTACACAGTATCAGTTTTTAAAAGTCATACTGTGAATATTCCTGGATGGCACAGGAAGTCTACACATAGCTGGTAACTGAAAAGTTAGCGGTTCAAACCCACCCAGAAGGTCCTCAGAAGAACCATACCTGGCGACATTTCTCCAAATGAACACATACATCAGAAAATGAACACCTTCACAATAAAATTCATATTTTGCTTGGTGAGTTGGCCCTGTCAGCCCTAATTTGCATAGCAGAACACTTGTCAACTGTTCCCATCCAGCCACAGGTTCACAATGAATTATATATTAATAATAGTACAGAGAGACTCCTCTCTTAATTCCAGCTCTGCCCCCTCTGGTGTTCAAACATTCTGACACAGAGGAGCAGGGTATTAAACTATAGGGGTGGGGGTGGGGGGCCGGCAGTGAGGATGGAGCTTAGAAGTCTAGGAAAGTGAAGAGACTGGCAAGTCACACAAGGTCAAAAGTATTGTCCATGGACCTGGGTCTCACTGCTTCCAGAACTAATGAACTGCTCAAATAAACAAACAATTCAAACACCAAAGTGAGGATCCCAGTTGCCATCGAGGTGATTCTGATTTATGGCGACCCCATTGTGTCAGTAGAATTTTACTCCAGAGGGATGTCAACGGCTTTCGTCTCTTGGAAACAGACTTACAGGCCTTACTTCAGAGGTGATTTGAACCACCAACCTTTGGTTATTACATAATCAGAGACTAGCATGCATTTGGAGTTCGGGTGTAGCACTGTGAGTTAATGCACTGGACTACAAAGTTGGTTTGAACCACAAGGTCAGTGGTTCAAGTTCACAAGCCGCTTCCCAGAAATCCTATACAGCAGGATCATTATGGATTGGAACCTACTCAATGGCACTTAAGAACAACAACAACATGCATATGCAAACACACAAAGATACACCCTTGACACTTATGTACACAAACAAATGAATAAAAATCAACCATGTTTAAATGTTCAACATTTGATAGTTCCCAAAAGACTTGATGTAAACTAGAATTCTAATGAAGCAAATCTCCTGGGATCGCAACACAATAAAATAAAAAAAGCCCTCATGTGTTATTGGGTAAGCGCTGGGCTGCTAACTGCAAGACTGGCAATTGAAACCCACTGGTTGTTCCCAGTGGACAAGATGAAGCTTTCTGTTCCTGGAAAGACTCACAACCTTGGAAATCCTAAGCAGGGTTGCTGTGAGTTGGGGCAGACCCGAGGGCAGTGGGTTGGGTTGGGTTTGCTATAGTGAGGACACAGCCTCTCTTCCTGTTTAGAGGCTTGGTGGGCACAGTAAAGGACCCCAGAATCCACTGACAGGTTGCATTCAATTCTAAAGAAAGTCAGGGGTGTTGACGAAGTGACTGACTGCAGCCCTCCACACTCAACACGTGGGTGTGCCTCTATAACTTTCACAGCACCCACTTTTTTCCTCCAGTCTCCCACTCCTCACTTGACCCTGGCTCCCAGTCTGGGCTTTCCTTGTCTGCTGCCTGCTGCAGTGGGAGCCACTGTGCTCAAGCCAGCTGTGGCCTCTAGGGAGCGGAAAGAGGGAGTTTTCCTGTCATGGAAGGAGTTGCGGCAGAACAGTGCTGCATTGGATAGGAGATGTGATACTGCTCTCCTGGGAGAAGGGCCTCTGCAGAAAGATGCAAACCACAACCCATTTCAACAGATGCTTGTATGAGGTTGTGCTTTTATCTGTGCTTCAGATATTTAAAAAGCCTATTTAAACAGAGAAGCACAAGCCTATGGATCTTGTCTGTTAAAGGAGGCAACAGCAAATGGGGTGGGAAGGAGGCCATCCATTAAAGGCACTTAACTATGTTGTTGTTGTCCTATGCCGTGGAGTTGATTCTGACAATGTTGTTTGTTGTTAAGTGCCTTCGAGTTGGTTCTGACTCACAGTGACCCTGTATAGGCTTTCCGAGGAGCAGCTGGTGAGCTTGAAACACATACCTTGTGGTTCAAACTGACTTTGCAGCCCAGCGCATTTGCCTACACTGCCATACCATATCAGACTCCAATTCTGAATATGATTGTTGGAGATTATGTGCCGTGGAGTTGGTTTCAACTCATAGCGACCCTGTACAGGGTTTCCGAGGCTGTAAATCTTTACAGGAGCAGAAAACCTCATCATTCTCCCACGGAACAGCTGATAGTTTCAAACTGCTAACCTTGAAGTTCGCAGCCCAATTCTTAACCACTAGGCTTGGAGGAAAATATTTAATAGAGCCCCACACATTTAAGCTCTACATGCCCAGTGTTGCATAGTCAGGCTTTGAAAAGAGCCTGGCTCAGTGGAGGCTGGAGGGGCTTGAGAGCCGGGGAGGATGGGACTCTGAAGGGAGCAGGGTAATTTGAGCATATGATGAACCTAGGTTGAGGGAGAGGGAAGGTAGGTCACAGCCAAACATGAGAGCGGAATCCAAAGGTTTGAGGGACCAGAGATAGAAGGCAGGAGGACACACAGGTTCTTTGAGAAGAGGGGTGTGAGCCTCAACCATTGGAGAGGGGAGCAAGCCATTTTTCTATTAACCTTAATAAGCAAGGGTCAAACGGTGTTGTTCTTAATACCAGTCTCACCCCTCCCCCAGGGCCACAGAGTGAATAACTATCACCAAAATAAAAGGGGTTCACGGGGGAGACCGCCATTAACCCCTACCTGAGTGCGAAGTGCTAGTGGACAGGGGAAGTGAGGAGTGAGGGAGGCACGCACCTGTCAGTGGAGGAATATTTATAAAACACTGAGGAACCATCCCTGGCAGTGGGCAGTCTCGAAAGGATATCGAGACCAGGAAGAGAAATATCTCCAGGGTTTACATCCCTTAGGTAATGTCGAGGTCTCTTCTGGAGTCAGGCAGAGCAAGGACGCCTCTCTTCCCGCCCCAACCTCCTGGTAGCCCCCAGGCCCCGGACTGCGGCCTTCCCGCGCCCCTCTCAGCCCGTCCCTCACACTCACTAGCACAGCGCAGCGCCTGTCGCAGAACCTCTCGGCCGCACAGGTCACACCAGGCGAGGTCGCTCCGCAACGCTAATTCGGCGAAGCGGTGTCCCTCGCCTCTCTCCGCTGGGACTCGAGGATCCTGCGGTTGCTCAAAGATGCTACGCACGTCTCGGGGTCGGGACGCCCCAGGCCGCCGCCGCAGTCTCTGCTGCAGACCAGGCCGAAGAGGGCGAGGGGGTCGGGAGGCCCGAGATTGGGGCTCCAGGTCGCCCCGGGCAGCCCTCCGGGAGCCGCGCCCCTCGTGCGCCCCGGGCGCAGTGGAGAGGGGCGCAGGGGCGCAGCGGCGTGAAGACCGGTTTTGGGGCGGCAGCGGTGGCTCTGGGTTGCCCAGTCTCTGTAGATAGCGAGGCGGTTCAGGGTCCAAGAGTAGAGAGTAGGGGCGCTGCCCGATAGCCGGGGACGCCATGGCCATGCCTAGAGACTGGCGGCAGCAGCTACCGCTCCAGCGGCTTTACTCCCGAGCCGGCCCCGAGAGAAGGGGCGGCCCCAGACCAATGCGCCTTTAAAGGGACCGCAGCCGACAGGGCGGGGCGGGGGCGGGGAGACTTCTGAGCGGCAGGAAGGACTGCCCCAGGGAACGACCGACGGCCTGATGGGTTGGGTGGGCTGGGGGTGGGGCTGAAGGTGGGGGTAGGGTGCTGTGGGGAGAGACGCCTGAGTGAGAGTGAATTTAGGGGCGCCTTCGGGAAGCATATTGGGCCACTGAAGCAACTGAGAGAGAAGTATTTCTGGAGGGTTTCTTTTCCATCGATATCCCCAACACCAGATCCACCTAACACCCTAGACCCTCAGGTGAGGACGCTGAAGCAAGCTAAGGAAGGGGGCCAGGAAGGGAGGCGACAGTCTAGATGTCAGCCCGCCTAATGCCATGCCGACCGGAGGGATGAATTTCGTACCTGCCTGTGCCTCTCACGACGCCCCCTCGCGGGCAGACCGGAAAGGGGGGGGGGTTACTTGGACCGGGAATGCCCGGACTTGCAACCCCGCGGCAGCGCCCAGTCTCATGATGCTGATAGACATCCTCACGGGGACGCTTCCCGTGCTGCCCCCGAAAAGAGAAGCCACATCCGCGTCGGGGAAGCCTGTCTTAGGCGACTTTCACTCTTAATGCATTTTCCCTGGCTCAGCAGCCCGGAGGCACTGGATGCTACTTTTCTCCAGAAGGCTGGAAATACTGTGGTCATGGGTTGGGGAAGTCAACTCCCCTCTTGGCAAAGCTGTCAGAGTCATTACTGGGTAGGCACTCTCTACCAAAAATAAATAAATAAGCCCTGCTTTGTACCTGATGTCTGCAGTTCACCTGAGGGACCCAAGAAGGGTTCTTTGTATCAGCACCTGTAATGGGATCCTGCTTGGTTGGACGTTCGGATCTTCCCATCATAATGTTTGAACCAAAACCAAAAACCTAAATTCATTGCCACCCAGTGGATTTCAACTCATGTAGACAGAGTGAAACTGTCCCCATAGGGTTACCAAGGCTGCAATCTTTACGGATGGTGGATTCCAGCAGCTAACATTTCGGTTAGCATCTGAGTACTTAACCACTGTGCCACCAGAGCTCTTGTTTGAAGGGTCTCTCGTTTTTTCTTTATGCACTGAGCCTTGCAAATTATGTAGCAGATCTGACAAGTACCTTTGCCATAGAGAGAGAGTGTGGCAAGGAATAACACCAGGAATAACTCCCTTTCATGGGTGAAAAGTTAAGCAAAGCCAAGAACTCCTGAATTTTTAAATGGAAATTGTGTATTGTCACTGACCAGCTGCAGGACGCTGGCTAGGTTTTCTTAACTCTAAGTTGGGTTGGGGTGGGAAGACAAGTACTGTTTTGGCCTCCTCTCCAGTTCAGACACTGACTCAATGATCTCACTTTTCCTCTTAAAATATGACTTAGTGTAGGTGACTAGCAACCAATTTTGGTAATCTGAATTCTTTCAGACTTAGGAAACTCTCCATTCTTCCCAGGCCAGAGAAGGGTCTCCCCCTAGTGCCTGCTAGGGGAATCTTCTCTTCCTTTTTGTTTTCCTTTTGGAGGTAGTTTTTAGGTAATATCTAAACATTCTAGAGTTCATAAGAAATTCCCAGCCTGCTTTGGTTCATGACTTTCCCCTGCTACTTATTACCCTAAGGAGCTCTGGTAGTGTAGTGCTTACAAGTTGGGCTGCGAACCTCCAGGTCAGCAGTTCAGAACTACCAGCCATGCGGCAGAAAAAAGATGAGGCTTTCTGCTCCCGAAAAGATTTACAGCCTTGGAAACCCTGTACAGGGTTGCTATGAATCGAACCAATTCCACGGCCACATAATTGATCATCAGCTTATGATCCTAGAGCCCTCTGACTTTGCAGAAAACATTATTGCTGGGTCTCACCCCCAAACCAAAACCAAGCCCACTGCTGCCCAGTCAATTTCAACTCATCGTACCCTGTATGACAGAGTAGAACTGTCCTATAGGGTTTCCATGGTGTAAATCTTTGCAGAAGCATTTTCTCCCATGGAATAGCTGCTGTGTTTGAACTGCCAACCTTTCAGTTAGGAACCAAATACTTGACCCTACACCACCAGGCTTCTCACCAGGAGGCACAAAATTCTCACCTTGCCAAGTGGTATCTGGGTAGAGGGGAAGAATGACCCATAGAGGCATAGAGGTCAACCCCTCAGAGCTACAAAGCTGAAGGCAGCTGAGATGGAGAAGTGTAAACCATGACTCACCACCTCTCTACCTTCCTCCTTTCCTTTCCAAGCTCAGAATCTTGCTTTCTTTACCTTGGTGGTTTCAGATTTTGACCTGCACCACACTCCTCTAGAGGCCTTGTAAAACCACAGATGACTGGGCTCCCTCCTCAAAGTTTCTGAATCAGTAAGGCTGGTGCTGATCCCACTTTGAGAACCACTGTTCTAGACCTAAAGAAGTGGTAAGAGAATGGGCTTCTCTTGTCTTCTTCATGGGCAGGTGAAATTCAGTACAACATGACTGAGAAAACCCAAGGTTAGGAAGCAATGGGGGTGGGGGTGGGGGAGCAATTCCTGGATGCTTTCTGCTGAATGTATAAAAGCAAAAAGTATAACTTGCCTCTTCTATTCCTCCCCACACATCCCTTTTCTTGCAAGCAGTTCTCTCAGGGTTATTGCAGAAACTTGTATTGCATATAAATATCTGCCTGCATCCACCCTCTCTTTTCCAGCTATCACCATAGGCTCAAAACTCAGTCCTTCCCAAAAGAGCAGTGGGCTGGGTAAGTCCAGGGTGTGGTCCCAGCTCTGGGAGGCAGATTGGAGTGGCAAGAAACAGGGATCTGGTACATTACTGGAGACCAGTTTTGAAATGTCATTTGTGAAATAGTTGCCAACAATCGCCACTCTGTCCACCCCTACCTACAAGCATGGTTTTGGGCCGTTTAGGCTGATTAAGTTCCAAGAGAGTGTGCCCTGGGAAGCTCAGCCCTTTCTGGAAGAATTGGGCATAAAACCCTTCCCAGTTCCTTCACTGTAGAGGCAAGCACTGTTGTTTGTTTTCCTGCTGAAGCCTGATTTCTGAGCAGCCTTGCCTACTCCCATCTGGATGGGGGAGGGAACTAGCAGAATCAGGACTTCTGGGATGGGAACAGAGATGAAAATGGAGATAGCATAACTTCATGTAACCAATCAAAAAAAAAGTTTATTAAGCTTATCTTAAGGTTCATCTCCCAGATTCAAGAAATTGAGGTTGGGGAGGTAACTTCCCCATTACCTCCACAGGAAGCTTCTCACTGGGACTTGGCCCTCCTGATACCATCTCAACCCACCCCTTGCCCCCTTCTTTCCTGAAGCAGCATACTCTCTCTCTTACTGTGTATGGGCACACTGTAAGTAGCAATTCATTCCTCCTTGCCCAAAGGAAAAACCCCAACCCAACCAAAACCAGTGCCATCAAATCGATCCTGACCCATAGCGAACCTATAGATCAGAGTAGAACTGCTCCTCAGGGTTTCTGAAACTGTAAATCTTAAGGGAGCAGAAAACCTCATCTCTCTCCTATGGAGAGGCTGGTGGGTTTGAACCACCAACCTCACGGCTAGCAGCCCCATGCCTAACCCACTGCCCATGGGAAAAGTACTAACTAAACTCTAGTGTCGTTAAAAAATCAGTCCATTGTCTGTGGTAATGTCTGATGCCTGAACTTAAATAATTTTTTTCTTCAATCAGCCTTTGGCCATCCAAGCCAGAAGGCTAAGAACTCAGCTGAGACACCTCCACTGGAAATTTTTCCTCTGTGTTGATAGACCCCTTGGCTCCGAGCCATGGACTTTAACTGTGGGTGACTCACTCCAAGCAGAGTGGGTGTACAGTTTTTAATTTCCCCAAGGGGAAAGACTACAGCAATGAGTTGTGAGTGTGGACAGTGTGTGGGCAGGGATACTACAAAGTGCTCCCAGAGCATGTTGGTTTCCCCATTGGTGAGTTGTTTCAAGAACTGTACCCAAGTCCACAGTGAGTTCCATAGTCGGAAGGAAAAGGGAAGGACGATATGTGGTCAAACTATTGCTGGGGAAGTTTTGAGGCATTTTAAATCACCTGAAATCCCCAGAAGCTTTAAGGGGACTTCCCAGTGGTTCTAACAGCTGTACAACTGTCCCATGGGAATCGTGGTCTATCATCAGTCAGGACAGGCTAGGTTACGCTGCAGTAAAAAGCAATCCCCTGCCCCAAAGCTGTGTGTCTCTGAAATACAGAGACTTTGTTCTCATCCTCATGACACGTCCTTTGCAGCTTGGCTGGGGACCTTCACTCACAAAAGTCACTCAGGGCCCATGTCTAATGGTGTTAGCCACTGTGTCAGAGGGAAATTGAGAATCCTGGAGTCTCTGAGGTTAAGTGCTGGACTAGTAGCCAAAAGGCATTCTGCTTCCAAAGGGCCATAACCATAAAAACCCTATGGAACACAATTCTACTCTGTAACACATGATTGGCCACGATTTGGAATCAACTTGATGACAACTTAATGACAGCTGGCTTGCTTTTGATTGCAGGATCCCACATCAGCATTTGAAAGCTCTAGCCACAAGTTCATGTTGCAACCATCTAAGGAGCAACCATTGGCTTGCTTAGGTACAAAGAAGGATAAAAATTGAAGACACATGGCAACAATTAGTGCAGTGGACTAATATGGACTATGGAAAACATCAGTCTCCATGATCCTGAGCCCAGAAGAACTAAATGACAGCCAGCTACCACTGCCAACTACTCTGAAAGGTATCACATTAGAAGGTCACCTGAATAGAGTAAGGAGAAAAAATGAGGAACAAAACTCAAAATCATATTTAAAAAAACAGGTTTACTGGTTAGAGACTGGTTGTTGTTGTTGTTATGTGCCATGGAGTTGACGCCGACTCATAGCGACCCTGTACAGGGTTTCCGAGGCTGTAAATCATTAGGGGAGCAGAAAGTCTCATATTTCTCCCACGGAACAGCTGATAGTTTTGAACTGCTGACCTTGCGGCTT